CAGCCTTTGTTTGAATATGATGATTAAAAGAGTGAAATATGAAAAGAAATATTATATAAGGGGGGTTTCCCATTTTCTTTTGCTTTGTTTTGTTTTTTTATTCCATTGCTGAGTCTCAACCTGACCCTTGAGCCTTCCAATGTTTTGAACACGATGTTCCCCACAACGTGAAAGAAAAAAAACATAACAGCAGGAGTCAAATAAGTAATAAGATTCATTAATAACAGTCATTGTGCGAGCCAAATTCATGAATACCCGGAATACTGCTACGGAAAGAGTTTTGTGACAAAAGTAATCGCTAAAAGTTGTCAACTTCGCTAATAAATTTCACTGTCCTCATAAAAAATGGAGAAACAGGTCCCTATCCCACCTACTCGCCACGTACCTAGCGTCTCAGAAACAACTGGTCTATTATTCAGCCAGATTGTCCTATTCATATTCACTCCATGGGATATCATCAATACTTACTGATTGAAAACCCGATCATAAACATTGCGTCACACTTTTGTATTCTCCAGTTGCCGCGTTGCTCGAAATACTCTGAAACAAATTAATACTCTTCCATTTGTCTTTCAAAATTTGGTCTCTACTGACTTTGGGAAATTGTTGTACATGAAAGTAACATGAACAGAATCTGTCATAATGTCAGTGCAAGTGATAAAAAGAGATGTGTTGTCTTCTGTGCAGTGGCCAATTTACGTCATCAAGCCAGTTGGTGAAATTAAACAACGTAACGCAACACTTACTTTGGCTGCTGGATTAATAATCTTTTCTTTGAATTTGAATTAGCCTTTCTGGCCTCGTTTTCCTGTACAAAATTCGAAGGAATATATTATCTAAAGTGAGGCCAGAAAGGCTAATTTGAGTTTTAAACAAAAGAATATTAATCTCGCAACCATTTATGAAAGTGGTCACATGATTTTATGGCACCCCTCTAGCAATTTAATAATTAATAGCATTATTGGGTTGTGAAATAAAGAGCTTACATACTGCGGTTTAAATTCAGTATGCAGATTTTAGCACACCTCTGATAATAGACAGGAAATCAAAGTTCTAAAGCAGGTAAGAAAAAGCTTTCTGCGTGCTAAGGATTCAGATTTTTCTTTTTCTTCTCTTTCTTTTTTTGACAAAAGGGAGGGGGATTGGGGATTGGGGCCTAATAGAGACCGCTCAA